ACACTTGGCGCATATTGCAAGCCGAACGGCTTAGGTTCGTTTTTTAAAAAGATGACGTTCATCAGATATCAGATGCTGGACAGTATGCTCTACAGATATAGGGGTTGACAATTTCGGGTGTTGCAAACTATTAAGGATGTTGCCCACATAAACAGCGTCATTAGAGGACCTCAAAAACAATGAGAGCCTTTCGTTTTGTTGAATATTTTCTTAAACCAACAGTTTGGAAGATTTAATCAGTTACTTAGTATTTAATCAGCTTTTTTCCCAAGTAGTTTTTAAAAATTTCTTTCGCTTAATTTCTTTCACCATATAGGATATTATTTCTGAAACCAGTCAACGTGCACATTTGTCCTTTGGCGTTATCTAAGTCTCCCTATAAAATATAACTAATCATGTTGGGTCGCCACAACCAAAAATGCCCAGGCCATTTATTTGGACCAATTCAGCCCTACGGCCATGTTTTCGTAAGTAATGGGTTGTTCCTCACCCTTTTTGCCTTTTAATGATTAATTGAACATCACCCTGTAAGATGTATAAAACTTGTTCTACTGTATAGCAAATTACAGCTTGAAGTATCTCCACAACTGTATCACTGGCTAATCTGTTGTGTTTCTTCATCTTCCAGACGGAATAGCACTATTTAATTCACAGAACAGCAGGATTTATTGTCACATAAAATGACATGCACTCAGAGTGTTTTAACCATTTAAGTGACTTCCACAGCCTTTTGATTGATGTTAATTTTGGGTATATGATTAAGAAGGGGTTATTAGCTCATATACCGTAATACCAGTTTGCATTTGTAAAACAAATATGGTATTAATTTACTTCTAAATCACCATTTATCTGCTTCATGTCTGAATATATGAGGTCCAAGTTTTCTCTGTTGATCGTCTGGTTCAGCTACCTAGTGTAAAAAAGACAAAAAACTAAGGAGGCGACTGAACCATGCAGGACACCAGCTCTTCTGAACTAAAGTTGGGCCCTATTTGTACACATATAATTCAGATGAGATGTATCTCTTAAAATACAGAAAAGTCTGAGATTCCAAAAACTAGAAATGTTGAAAAGTTCAAGCAGTGTAAAGGCTTTTCCAATGCAATATGGGATTTTTTTTTCACATCTATACAGATAGGCAGAAATTGACAGGTGCAAGCCCAGGGTCTGAGTGCAGGTATGAGGAAATGCGTAGGTTGCAGTAAGCTTACTTTAAATTAAAGATTAACCTGCATGTCCCTGGTGTTTTATGAAAGCACCAGGCAGAAGTAGCTGTGCAAAGAGGTATAAAGGTAGGCGAGCAGGCAGCCATGCAGGGAACAAGAAAGACACCCAGTGGTGGCTCGTCTACCAGCTGAAGTCAGCCGGGTTGACAGACAAAGCTGAAGTGTCTATGCCTGCCAGCACTTGCCTGAGCCTCACGCCATCCTGGCGTCATTGGATTTGACAAGAGCAAGTCCAGAGAAGGTAGCAAGGATGCTGAGGACCTGTCTGTCCTACACACCTCTGAGGAGTTCAAGTGCTAACACCTTGTCAGCAGGTTAGTCAGGACTTGAACACCGCTGGAAAATAGATACGCAGAGAAACACATGCCAGTTATTGTTTGAAGTGGGCTTGATCGCATTTTAAATAAAAAAAGCTGATACAGAATAGATCAAAGTATTACTTAGTAAAACCAGCCTTACCGCTAGTTACAAAATATATATCAAAGTACTTTAGTGAATATTTCAGTGATTTTCAGTCTTCTAAAAACTAGTCTTATACTTTTCACTGAGAATAACAGAATATGAAAGAATTCCCACCAGTATGAATAATTTGGAACTACTGCAATCTCTAACCCTAAAGTTTCAACATAGCTATAAAAATACTCTTCTCTTTAAATCTTGAAACACTCTTAGAAGAAAGTCTCTAAATGTCGATCTTCCACACATTCATTTATAAATTTTAATGATAGATGAGGAATGAGCTTCTAATGTGTGCTTACGTCTGAAAAAAAAGAGATCTCTTTTGACTTCCCACCCTCCCTCTCCCAAACCTGGCTTAGGCTGTAAATGATTTGGATGACTGTTAGAGAGCATGAAGCCTCTTGGCGTTCCCTCCTGGAAGGAATCAGTGCTTTGTTAGCCTAAAAGTTTGCATGGAAAAATTGCACCCATGGGAGAGCAAAACAGGCATACACCACATGGGGAGACAGAGGGAGGGCAGAATTTATTTATAACACTTTCTGCGTTGATGCTAAGTCATCAGATAGTCCTTATAGTGCAGAGCAGAGAAGCACCATAAACGGCTATGAAGAGAGTGAACAAAGATTCTCATCCCTCTCAGTCCCCGTTTAGGAGCGGAGCAGATTTACAGCGATGCTGTTCGTTTCTCAAACTCTCTCCAAGTATCTGCTTCTCGCTCGACTCCTCGCTGTGCCTGCTTGGCAAATCACACTTAAAGGGGGGGAAGAAAAGAACCAGGTGGAGAGAGAACGTGGTGATAGCGATGATGATAGCATGTGGTATCCCGGGGATATTTCTGAACAAAACATCCACCATTATCCTGACGTATCCAACTCTCAGGCTCCATTTTGTGACCCATTATGGCATAAGAGGAAGATGGTCCTAAAGAGGAGCCGTGGAGCAGCAGAAATATGCTTCAAAGAACGAGGGCCCTGGAGGAGGCAGCACTGCTCGGCCTGCTGCCGTTCCCGCTTAACAGTCAAACTGTCATGGACTTTTAGTTAAGAGGGAATCAAATTTAATGATTTAGCTTACATACGTATCTGTAAATGGGTGTGTTTCTTTCCCATCATGTTCGGCCTGCTTGCTATCCCATAGCTTGGTGATCCTGCCTGCCTGCCTGCCTGCCTGGTACTCTTTAATGAGATTATCAGGAGTAGAGTGTCAGTAAGTAGGATCTAAAATGAAAGCCATTATGGAGCATTATCAGAAAGCCGCACCACCACCCCACCCCCTTCCTCACCGAAGATCCATCTGCTGCATGGCCACCCACACAGCCACTACGCCCAGATTACAGCCGTGATTAGGACTGCAAAGTGCTGCTTAATTTAAACACCTCTGGAGAACATGTGGCACTTTGCTGCACGGCTGAGTCGCCTGCTTCAACAAACTGAGGACAAGGACGCCGTACGCATCCTATAAAACAAATCCACTCAAACACTTGAATCGCAAGGCTTACACACAAGTCTTATGATGCTATGTTTTATCTGATTTCAGCAGATTTCTAAAACATTTGTGCACATAAACACATTGAACAAAGGCAGTGTTTTACTTACCATCGATCTTTCAATGTGGTCAGGGGTATAAACTGTTTGCTAAAAAGGAGCGCTTTTTTTAGTCAATTAACACTAGGGTACTTGTGTTTTGACAGTACAAATAAAATTGAAAGGAAATTAAATAGAAAAAAATCTATATGTGTATTGAATTCAAGTGTGTGCAGAAAGTCTTTGAATTTATAACAAAAACAGCTTTGAAGCTCAACCCTAAAGTTACATCCAAGAAATACTTTTGATTAAAAGTGAAGCTTTTTAGCCTAAGATGGACTTCTCAAGGAAACCTTCCTTTTAACCATATTTTATTTAATTTAACCAAAAGTTTTTTTCATGCTAACTCTCTGTAAATCCCACCAGTTCTTATTTATTTCACTGGCTCCAGAGCAGATTTGAACATTCTGCTATTAGACCATGAAACACTAAATGCTCTTGGACTGCTTGTCAGTTATAAGCCATGCTGAACCTCATGCCTTCAGAGACTTGCCTACTCTTTTCCCGGTTGCAAAACTAAACAAGGTGAGGCAGCATTTAGTCTCTATATTTCTCAAACCTTTAAAATGTTGTGTAGAAACTGATGGTTCATTTAACGCAAGACGGAAAACCCTGTTGGGTTCTATACCGTAGGCTTGTGACTGAACAATCTCACTAATTAACTGTTTCAACCGTGTTGTTCTTTTAATAAATGTTTTTATGCCGATTCTTTGATATGCTGTTTAAAATAAACTTGCCTTTTTTTTTTTTATTATCTTTCGAGACATTGCTTTGAAATAAAACTACTATCAAAAAGGCGAATAAAGGGGATAATGGAACAAAGCAATGCAGAAAATTATAGGCTGCTTAGCTTAATTCACATCAAATGTTTTACAATGTAAACATCTAAAGTTACCTAAGAGTGGAATAAAAAATTAAAGAAGCATTTATGAAGCTCAGCAATTGCCAAGAAGTAACTGTAAAGACACAGGACTGCCATATGAGTACTCATGATTTAAACTGTTGCAGTTATTTTGAAAGAATCTGTAAATGATATCAATCTTCATCATTATTATATATTTTCTCAAGACTCAAGATAATGAAATTATCTATTAAAATGAACTTTAACGCAGACCTTTCAATCTTTGTTTTTATGTGACCAAACACATTGCAACCTGTATCAGCAATGCTAAAGAACTTCATTCACAAATTCAAAACATATTTTGAGTTTTGCTGCAGCTGCCGTGTGGGTTTTGCATGTCATACAGTACTCTGCTGAGGCTCTACTTCTGACATCAGCTGGCAGGATTTTATAAATGCTGATGAAATAAATGCATCCATGGCAGCTAATTTCTTTATTTTCCCAGCTAAAGCATCCCTTATTCTTTATATCATAATTCCTTACTTTCTGAAAAGATGTAATATTTAAGAGGATCCACATGTTTTAGGATAGAATCGTTAGATCTAAATAAACAGGTGACCCTGTTAGTGTCTGCAATAGATTATATCATAAAAGGATGATAGTATGTTTATGCAGTAAATTGGATATATACACAGCATACTCATGTACTGCTGCAGAGTTAACAAATACCTTTATTTCCTTACAATTGATGTCTATACATTTACCTAAAAATGGCTAAATATCTAAATTATTTATTAAAATTAGTTTTTTACAAATTTAAAGCTTCAGATCTGTTATTTGAAGGACCTAAGTTAAAATGTAATTGTGTGCTTTTCTTTATTATTTTCATACCTGTGATCTTATCACGAACTAGCTTGCAGGACTCGATTTCACCGATGCTACCAAACAGGCTGCGGAACTCCTCCTGGGTCATGTTCTGAGGCAGGTAGTTTACTATGAGGTTCGTCTTGCTGTCGTCGTTTGTTGGACCGGTCTGCATTGGTGAGGGGCAGCCACGGCTGTTGGTGTTCGGGCCGTTGGCTGTGTTGCCTCCACCGCTGGGGCCGTTTGTCACTGGAGCCTCCATGTTACTGATGATCTGCAAGGAAAAAGCAGGAGGAGAAAAGAGAAGATGGGGAGATGTTTATCAGAGAGAAAGGACAGTGTATAAGGAAGAGATGGAAAAAGATGACATTCATAATATTAATGCGTTTACGTTTCAGACACAAAAAGACTATGCAACCATCTAAATACAACAAAAAATTTACATAAAATGTATGTTTTTTTTACAAAATGACCCCCACACACATTTCCAGAAAAATGGAAAAGGAAAACCAAAAACACTTGATCTTCCATGATTTAACTGCCTAATTTAAAAGCTAGGCCAATGTTATTTTACGTAAATGCCTCAGACATTATTCTGTTAAACTGATGACTATCTGCCTAAGTTATATATAATACATTGATAAGAAAGTTCTTGGATGCAGTATGTAGCTCCAAACTACAGTTTCAGTATTGTTCCTGACATTTTTTTCTAAGGTTGCATTAATTTTACATAACAGCAGCAGTATTTCCTGTATGGATGCAGTATTTTCTGCCGCTCTACAGAGTTTTTAGCTGGATAAACGCTGGTATCTTCTGTTCTTTGCCTGAATCTACCTATTTTTCCCAAAAGGTGATTTTATTTCAAGTGGGAAGATTACTTTCATAGATGATATTCCCTAAAGCTTTTCTAAAGCTCTGTAAATCTTGGCATGGCAACACTTCACACTTCAAACCCAAAAAAGGAACACCAGGTGCTAGTTAGAGGTTTATATAAGACAGGTTTCATCTGTTAACGCATAAGGGGGCTGTGATCACTGGCAAATAGTTTGTAGCTGAAGTGCATTCAGATTGTTTTTAAATTCTTGAAGCTGACACCTAAATTTAGGTCTCATTCTATTTCTCTAATTCAAAAGCAAAAATTTAATCATTGTTATTAATTTAAAAACACCTACTTAGAAGGCAGTTTAAAGAAGATCAAGTGATAATTGATAAAAAAAAAAAAGCCCCAAAAATGTAAAAAATATCTATGGCATGTGCATGCATTTCAATATCATGCACATTACAGTGTCATATATAGTCATCCATTATAATCTTTATAACTTGGAACCCATCAATTTTAATGCTAATAAATTGAGTCTTTAGTAATGAATCTAAATAACTTATTATATTGTATAAAAGTGGCCTTCTGTGTATAAATATACAGTAAAAAATACCATAATGATGCTGCAAACACATTTAATATCTCCAAACATTCATCAACACAGCTGACACAAAGAATCTAAACAGGTAATAATCCGTCTTAATCTTTTGATAGTTCTGATGGATGCTGAGGACTGCAGGAGAGGATGGCAACAGGGGCAGCCCTCCAGCTTCCAGCCTGGTCGCTGATGCTGCTGCTGTGACAGAGGGAGGTTTGCATATTGGTATAGGGGGCTTCTTACTGAGCATCTTTGGATAAAAGGGTTTTATAGAGTGACTACGGTCGCGAGAGTCAGATGTTTGTGGTTTCCACTTTGCTTTCTTCTAAAAAAAAAATTCAATTTTTTTGTTTAGTTCAACATTTAGAGAAACCACAAACAGAGTTTTATGAGACATATCCACTCATGCATAACCCAGAATGGAGACTATTTTTACTAAAGGTTTTCAATCCTGTGTTCCCAGTCTCTGTTGGACTGTATTGGTGGTGACCAAAAATCACGAAAAATAAATCTACAATAGAACAAGGTGTAATCATGTCTTGTGACAGAAGAGCAAAAGCATCTCATTACCCAACAATATGAGACCAAAGAGCAACGATGCAAACATCCTCTAATCTCTCAGCTCTCTTCCATTACATTTTTCCAAGATTCAGCTTTCGTTCTATTTTTACCTATCCCTAAGTACGAGCAGAAAGGCTGCATGTGGAAGCAGGCTGGTTTTAGCAAAGGAGAAACGACAAGTCCTGCTTCTCTCTATTTCTGGATTATCAAAAGGCGGGGCCTGTGTTCTAATAATATAGCTCAAAGCGCAACTTAAAAATTTCTTTCTAACTCCAGAAATAGTATTTAAGAGGAAAGCAAAAAAAAAAAAATAAATAAAAATAAAACAATCACACACCTACAGTGTTGGTTTTAATCGCCTCCCTTTTGTCCATGCATGTATACATGATGCAATTAATTTTACATCAGACTATGTGATTTAATAAACAGGAATTCTGAGGCGTTTAAGATCTGTAAGTACAACAAAAAAGGGTATTTTGAAATACAGTTAATGCATTGTATTAATCCTATCTCAACTCATATTTAAAACAGATTTTGTTAAAAACATGGTAATGCATCTCAAATTTGGTTTTGATCCTCTTAATTATTATTTACAGCTGATGATAACCCCAAATTCAGTTTTAAAAAAACTTAGAATCTTCCATAAGACAAACAAACGGGATTTTGAGGAAGGAAAGAGAAGTATGACCTGAACTGTAGAATAACTACACCCAGAACTCGGTCAGAGCTGCTTCATCATGCATTACAGCATTAATGCAGCATGGCATGGAGGTTCTTCTGAGGCTTTCAGGAAGCAAATGAAGCTTAATAGCTCCCTTCAAATCATCTGCGTTGCTGCGTCTGGTTTCTCATGTTCGTTTGGACAATACTCCATTACCTCTCTTCAGAATTGATAGATATTAATCAAACACAGTGATACATGCTCATTAACCCAAGTATCTGACGGTCAGGCAGTGGGGGAAGAGGGAAGCTCCTTGAGAGACACTTATTCTGCCTTTGAATTTGAGAAAACACAGCAGACCAGGAAAAACAAAAAACAGATGATATCATTCACAAATCTTCACTAAATCTGTTAGCTTCACACTACAACACAGACAGCATGGAGCCTGTTCTCTTTTAACTTTCCATCTAGTCTGGGACATTGGTTTTAAAATAAAAGGGAATAAAAATTTCACTGAAAAAGGAAAAAAAAATGGACCTCTGAGCAGACGTCCTTTCTCCTTATCTCATATAAGACGCTAATGTCTTTTGTCTTCCAGTTATACCAACACCTTATGAGCCCCAAACAGTTTGTGCTCTTCTTGTATTTTGTGAGCACTTTTTAAACCACATTTATGCCTTCCACCTAATTTCCACAAACACCTATCTTTATTAGCAATGGTGTTTTATGGATTTTCCCTGTTACTGACTGTCTGCTGACAACTGACCATCCATCCATCCATCCATCCATCCATC